CATTGGATTGTATAACCAATCATAAAGACTAAACAAGCATCTAGATTTCCTTGTTTTAATCCACCAAAACGATTTTAGTTGAATGTGGTCAAGCAACTTACTTTTGTTGATGTCGGAGTCTCGGAATATCTTTTGATTTCTTGCGAGCCAAATGGTCCACACCACAACGTTCCATATACAATCCCAACCTTCCTTTACTCGTGTTTCTTTGGCCCATACCCCAAACAGCTCAAAAGATTTCCAGCAGTCATTTTCCAAATTAACTGAGATTCCCCACCATTTTCCACAAGCCTTCCATAGCCACTTTGCCACCTTGCACCTCAAGAAAAGATGATTCGAGTCCTCGGCCTCCTCCTCGCATAAAGCGCAGATTCCATCTTCCAATTCAGTGGTTATTCCTCTTCTTTGCAGGTTGCTCTTTGTTGGTATTCTATCCTGCAGTAGCTGCCAATTAAAAGCAGAAATTTTGCTTGGGATGATTGGGTTCCACACTCTCTTGTGTATTGGAGCTGCATCCAGTCCACTAAGTTCGTTTGTCAACAATTTGTAAGCTGTTTGAGTTGAGTAGATGCCTTCCTTGCTATGCTCCCACTTCCATGTGTCGGGGATGTCCTTGTATATCCGCATGCTATCAATCTTTCGTTGTAGTTCTGTTGCTTCTTCTCTTTCCCAGTCAAATAAGGCTCTCCTCCACTCTAGATTCCACCTCCATGTTCCATCTTCCTCATTGCCCATTTGACAACATTTTTTCTCCTTTCCTGTTGACAAATTATACAATCTTGGAAAAAGATTAGCAAGATCTCCCTCCCCACCCCAATTATCTCTCCAGAAGCTCACTCCTTTCCCTTCTCCTAGTATTAACTTAAAACCCTCTGTTAGCCATCCTTCTTTCTCTTCATCTACATTGTTGAGACAGCCCACATCCCTCCACCATAGTGATCCTATTCCCCTCCCCTCCCTTACCCAGTCTAGTCAATGGCCTCCACTCTCTCCATACTTGCTAGCTATAACCTTATCCCACAATCCATGTTCTTTTCTTGCTAGCCTTCCCCACCATTTCCCCATTAAGGCTATGTTGAACTTCCTTAGATCTCTCACTCCTAATCCCCCACATAGTTTATTTTTGCAAACTTTCTCCCATTTAACCCAATTAATTTTTCTACCTTCTCCTTCCCCACCCCATAAAAAACTCTTGCGAATTTTATCAATAAAATGAATAGTACCTTTAGGGAGCAGGTAGACCGACATTAAGAACACGGGCAAGCTAGACAATACAGAATTAACGATCGTGATGCGTCCCCCAAAGGATAAATTTCGGCCTTTCCATGGAGCTAACTTCTTTTTCACGGATTCCATCATATTTTGCCACATTGCAATTCTTTTATGATTCCCCCCAATG